GCGTAGTCTGTGGAAGCTTTGGTCGCTAAAAATGGCGGATGTGGGAGCAGATCCCAGCCTTTCAGCTTGGTTTTTGCTGATTGATCCTCGCCGAGAAGTCCTTGAGATCGCGAAATGACTCTGCCGCTACCCAACTTCCTCGAAGTTTTAGAAGCATAATGTGGCGAATATGGAGATGATTTTCGATAAGGCATTTCTGTTAATGAAAGAGAGAAGAATATTTTCATGAGAAAATAATGAACAAAACGTCCATTTGGAAAAAAGCGCGAAAAAAGCCGCAGTAATTATGCATCAACCCAAGATGTATGTAGCAGGACCCAGTCAATGCATTCAGAGGTCACAGCAATGTGAACTGAGACCTTCGGAGCGCATCCTTCTTCTAAGCCCTTGTCCTTGTTCCAAGAAGGAAAAAAGGCTTATAAACCCTAGTGAAATTTAGAGATTTTACATGTAGTGATATCGCCTTCAATGAATGTAACTTCACACACTGAAAAACGAGTTTCAAACAAGGCCACAGATAAAAAAAAGAAATGTTGCTGAGGCTCAATCCACAAATATAATAATCCTCTGCACGATCGACTTTGGTGACAACACCTGTGTGAACATCGATAGAAACCAGACATTGCGGGAGGCAAACACTGGAGTGCATTTTCTTAGTCAGCAGATGGCATAACCTGAAAATGACATCTGTTGCCTCAAAACTTCTACGGTACTAGGAATGGGGCAAAAAGCTAACTAGGCCATTAAAATACGTCATTGGAAGCCCTCTATCGGCTGTTGCGCAACGCCAATAACAATATGTTAAATATAAGTTAACAAAAACCGTGAAATAGAAGTTGTGCTGCTCCAGACGACTCCACCTTACCTTTAACCTCTCGAAAGCTGCCTTCTCCAGTTGTTCACGATGCGATGGATGAGCAATTTTGATGAGTTCGTACGCTCTTTGTCGCATGTTCTTACCCCACAGCTGAGCAATACCGTACTCTGTGACAACGTAGTGAACATGAGATCGAGATGTAACAACGCCGGCTCCCTAAAAAGTCGGAAGCAGTGATCTAGAATATAAGGGAAAACTGCAGACAAATGAGGTTAAAGAACCTCCTGTATGTAGGGCACAATCTTGCTCTGGCCTTTCTTCGAAACCGACGGAAGAGCGATGATTGGCTTGCCTTCACCGTCATTACCGATGGCTGCACCACGAATGTAGTCTACTTGGCCACCAAAACCCGACAAGAATCGCTTGCCGACCGAGTCGGAGACCACTGAAATGGTCCACTGGCCATAGTGTCTCACAAAAGTCCCAGCGCTAGAACATGCACCAAGACAACTTCACATTCAGAACGCTCACCTTGTCCAGTGAGGTCAATCTCTACAGCTGAATTTATTGCGACGATTTTGGGATTCTGTCGGATGATTGCTGGATCGTTGACCCACTGGACATCACCAAATTCAACCATGGGATTGTTGTTGAGGAAATCATATAACTTTCTTGTACCATAGACGAACGAGACCACCAGCTTACCAGGCCGTACAACCTGAACTGAGCTAAAGGGTACAGTGCGTTCACCACACGGAGTTAGATGTAGTTTAGTTTTCTCTGTATTATAAAACTACCTCACAAGCTCCCTCTACTTATTGGGGACTGCTACTGACCCGTTCCTTTTGGTACCAGCTACCTTTATTGTAGATAACTTATTGATTATGCTGATAAATATATTGATTGTACTATTATATTGTGGTGCTTATGCTGAGGCAGTGCTATGAACATGAGTGTTGCGAACCGAGACTATCCCAGGCAATGAGCCACGGAGCTTGTAGTATGGCAGCAGAACTTTCTCGTGGGAGTACCGCTCCTAGCATTTGCCCTTGCTTTCAATGTGAACTCGTCCTAGCCCATTTTGTCAGTGAGCTAGTCCAGTAACACCATATTACTCGTCTTCATCTCTACTAAGAGAAGCTGCATAGATACCTTTTTCTTATTGGTGATGACGTTGGAGGCAATCAGGTCCAAAATACCATCAGAGAACATCTCAGTGTGGATGCCGAGATCTTTGTGATTTTTAAGTGCACATAGTGCGGCGTCCGGCACGGCTCCGATACCTGCAACGCGGAATTAATTCATTCTCAGGAACGCTTGAACAGTGAATCATTGCAGGTCACGGACAAATAAGAAGTGAATGAGACAATGCCATAGCCAATTTCTGACTTCAGTCTCTTGGCCACCTACAATGTCTCCACGGAAAAACTCGCCGGCTGCGCGTACAGGTCGAAATCACAACAGCATGTGGCGCGCTGAAAGTACTTTCCTCGGAAAACGAGAAGTGCCGAGTGCAGACCGCACACCACAAGTTACGACAGCCAAGAAAAAATAAAAAAAGCTTTTGCTGCAGCCAAGGCAGCAGTTAACAAACAAAAACAAGTCAAAAAAGCCATTTTCGTCTTGGCCGTCGTCACCTGTGGTGCGTGGTCTGCACTCGACGCTCTTCTCTTTTCCCGAAATAGGGGGTAAGAGCTATGACCATCTACAGTAACACAAAAACGGAAGGCGGGCAAGATAGGCATGTCCAAAGCTTTTTAATGATTTTCTTCTTCCTTCTACTTCTTTCCTTTGGTGAGTGACTTAGCACTAGATGTCGGGCCTTTCGAAATGGGTGTTCAAACCGTTTGAACAATTGTTATTTCACTGCGATGACACGATAGCTGTGTCGCTTGGTGCAACGTCACTCGAGTGCAATGAGCATCAAACATAAAGACGAACATCCCGTGGGAAGAATTCAGCTAAAGCTCGGAAGCAGCACTC